GGTCAACTGACTGACAGACCCCTCAGTCTCTCAGCCCCACCCGTTCCACTGTTCCGTTGTGGAGGTCGTTAAAGACTCTGCCTCGCTGCTTCGCTGATGCTGCTGCTGGGCCCGCAGATTTTGCCTGGTTTCCAGCGCTCTGGGCCTTGTCCTTTCCGCGCTTCATCAGGCCTTAGTTATGGATATGGGTGTGTACTCTATCCTTTGAAAGCAGTAGCAATACTTTGAGGAAGTTTCTCTATCTCCATCTGCGTATTTGTGGCATTCCTCCAGTATTTATTACAATCTCCGTAAATCATAATTATTAATTGGCCTTCCATTTTGTATATGTTTTAATTTGTGACAATTTGTTGGTCTTTGAATTCCATTTGCAATTTCTCTGGCCATATTTGTGTGTGAAATAAATTGAAGAGCATTCCATATATGGATAGGGTATACGCTAGTCTCTTATCCTGGCCTCCGATTGCTGGTTTTCTCTTTTCATTGAACGTTGTGCGAATGGGCCAAAATCGAAGCAGAGTCATACCGTGAGCGAGGGAAGGACGCGGAAGGGGAAAGGGGAGAGGGAAGCTGATGCTGCTCCAATCCAATATTTGGTATTTTTGAAATACCGTCACGTTTCCACATTTTACTACTCACTTGTGGCACGTTGTTGCCATTGAGCATATCAGTTTGGAATTTTATTGGCCACGCTTCCTCCTGCACCTTCCACTTGGCCTTCTCCCGCAACCTCCACCCCTCCCCTACCCTCCACGTCCACTGCTTCGTCATGGCCATTTGAAGAGTCTCTCGCTGATCTTGGTCTTGATAGCCAGGCGGCCACAAACTATTGCCCGAGTCAGCAAGCGGCTTCCATTCCACTCTTCCGCCGGCTTCTGACATTTATATTGGCAAATATTTTAAATATTCCCTCCGTGTTCCTCCACAGTTCCTCTCCTTTGCTCAATCTGTGCTCTGGTCCCCCGTGTGGGTGTTGTCCTCCTTGGTGCTTCAGGTGTCGTCGTTATCGCCTCTCAATGGTCTTTATGACTGGAATGAACAGTGGAAATAGCAGCCCATACGGACAGAGCACATCATTGTTTTTGTTGTTGTTGCTTAAATCGAAAGAATCTTTAATATAATTGGAATTTTTATTGTCAAGTGAAGTCTTGGGAGAAGAAGGAGGAGAGTCAGTGAGCAGCAAGTGGTGGGTTCGGATCAATCAGCCCTTTGAGGGCAAAACCATGAGTAAAACACTTCTCAAGTTCTTCTGGGGTTGACAATGAATGACACTGAATTAATTTCCACTGATTTTTCGCCCCATAGTTGCCACACCACCGCCGACTTACCGCTCGAATGGTGGCGTTCCAACCGCCACGGATGCCCCGCCTGGGGATGGACACGGACACGGACACCCGCTGGTCTATGAGGATGCCGTCACTATAGAACTTCAGGCGCAGGAGAACGACTACGTGTTGGAAGAGTCCAGCCGCCGAGTGCACTCCACACCGCCGCCATTCTACTGCCCACTGCCGCTGACACCGCCGCCCAGCTACACAGAGAGGCAGGGCACAGTAGCAGGAACAGGAACAGCTGCTAGGACGGGTCCGCCGCAGCTGGCGGAGAATGCAGCGACGCCCGCGCGACCAACCGCCAGCGAAGCAGCAGCGCGACAGCAGCAGCAGCAGGCAAGACGTCGCCGACGACTGCGGGAATTGCAGCAGCAGGAACTACGTTTTGCTTCTAGTACTGACAGCTCCAGCAGTACCGGATCCAGCAGCGCCTGTGAGTTGGGCAGCGGCGGCAGTGCGGTAAGACGCCAGCGTCGACGCAGACGCAGCCGCGGACTGAGGGGTAAGACAAGAGCCCGTAGAGTTTCCGTCAAACAATTTCTTACAATATCTTTTTTATAAACCCGGCAGATGCCTATTGTCCGGACCTGTTGCACGCCTGCGCCCAGATACTTCAGCAGCCCGGAAGCAGCGACAGTTCTGTGGGAAACTTTACGGCCACGCCGCCACCGCCAACGCCAGCACTAGCCACCGGGCAGAGACAGGGAGGAGACGAGGAAGAGGAGGGAGTCGAGTACAGCTCGGACTATGTGGAGATCGACGAGCTGCTGCCACTAGTCGCCGTTGCTGCCGTAGTGCCGAGAGCGAAGAGCACACCCCAACTGCAGCATGCTGTAGGGCTAGGTCTCGACGAAGACGCGATGGGTCAGAACCTAAGCCTGCGACGGCCTCGAATCTCACTCACCTGGGTCCTCCGGGAGCAGCAGCAGCCGCAGCCGGCGGTGCCGGAGCAGACCCAGAACCAGGACTCCAAGGAGGTCACGTCCTCGGATCTGGGTGGCGACCACAAAGAGAACGAACTGCTGCAGACATCGATCAGCATTGGAAATGGTGGACAAACGAGAACGGAGCCAGTGCCCACCCAGCTGGATGTCACCAAGAAGCGGTACAGGGTCAAGCAGCTGCCGGGCGGCACGGAGCCACTCAATGGGTACGCCACCACGCCCACGGGGCACCAGGCACCGGGCAACGGCCATCTCGGACAGCAGAAGTTCTTCAGCAATCAGAATTTGCTGGACTACAAAGAAAGGGCGGTCCCTCGGAGCCAGAGTCATGCGCAGGCCGGAGCTCCGGTGGCGGCCGCCTCCACCAAAGAGCTGCTCTTCGTGTGCACGCCCCAGCGGGCACCGAAGAGCGATGCGCATAGCGAGGCCCTGATGCTGGCCCGAAAGCGGAACGAGATCCGCAAGAAGCTGGCCAGCCGGCTGCAGCAGGCGCGCTCCATGGGAGTAGGCGCCGCCTCCACGAACGCGGCAGATTCATGCAATGGCCAGGCGCGAGCTTCGACAGTCACGACAGCCGACTCACTGAAGTGCACCTACTCGGAGCCCAGCCTGGTGGCAGCTTCTGAAGTGGGTTGCGGAGTAGCTGGAGGAGCGGCCCCTCAGCAGCAGCGAAGGCATCGCCATCGCAAGCGAAGGGACCGGAATCGGGTACAGCGCTTTGGCTATGAGATCCACAACGTGGACGAGTTCCTGTCGCGCTGCTCGCTGTCCACGCCGGGAAACATACCCGTGGTCCTGGCCACGGCCAGCACCCTTTACCAGACGCGACCGGGTGGCTACCAGCTGGAGATTCCTCTGCCGCTTGGCATGGTCGTGAATGCCGTCTTCAAGAACCAGAATTGGCTCTACGTGCAGACGCCGCACGCAGAGGAAGGCTACGTGGGCTATGCCTGCTGCTTGCCGCTGGGAATCCTGCCGCAGGCGGCTCGAAGCGGCTCCCGACACACTCCATGCTGGGAATCCAACGCAGACGTCTTTCCCCGTCCCTGCGGCAACATGACCGACTCTGAGAAGGAGATTCGGATGCGCGGTGGCACCCGCTCCGATGGCGCCCGCACTCCACGCAGCTCCAAGCCCGTCGAGGAGGTGCTGCCCCTGAGCATCAACAACAACAACAACAACAGCATTAGCCAACATCAGGTGACCAAAGGCGGCAGCACTACCAGCTCCCTGTACGGGGAGCAGCATGTGGACAAGCTATATCTGCGAGCCGCATCACAGCCAAAGCTCGTGGAGAAGGCCTACGCACAGCTGCGCTCCACCAAGCAGGTGGGTCTGGCCTCCGGCTCCGCATCCGTGCGGAGCGGAGCCTCCAACGATGAGTACGTCACACTGCAGCAGCAGCAGAAGAGCACCAAGAAGCAGCCGCATCTGCATGTGTCTCAGACTCAGTCACTGGTAACGCGACGCGTCTCAAACGTCTCGTACATCACCAATGGCCAAAACGGACAGCATCTGCATCCAAAGACCATTCCCCAGCAACCACATCCACAGCCAGCGGTGGCCACAGCACTGAGCGTGCTACGAAAGCAGCAGCACAACGGGCTACGTCAAACTCTAGTCGCCATAAACTCGGACTACGTCACGGAGAGCATTGCGGTGCACAAGGGGGATATTGTGACCCTGTGCGAGTGTCGCGAGTCAAAGGATCAGCGCCAGTGGTTCTATGTGAAGACGCGCGATGGGCGCGAGGGCTTCATACCGGCCGAGGTGGCCGGCCATGGTTACCTGTAGACCTGTAGACCAACCCATAGCCAGTAGTCCACACCCAACCCACCTGTCAGCTCCCCCCAAATCAAGTCAAGCTCTACGTGTAACTCAATTAGCATTATATCCATATCCATCTTAAGAACATTTATCCACTTCATTCGCGCTCCTTAGTACGCTTCTAGTTTGTACGAGTATCTTGTATGTGGGCATTTGAAAATGGTATTGTATATGTATGTTCGGGTGTATCCAGTGGATTTATATCCACGAGTATCTCTAGCCCCCTAGCCTAGCCTAACGAGTAGTCTATGTAATAGAAAACTTGCTAAACGAAAATCAAAGACGAGAGCGCAGAAGGAAACTATTTATATGATTATTGTACTTGATGCTTCTACTAAATAACATTAACTGATATTTAAATATATTAATTACAAAATCGTACAACCGTTATGTCCTTGCAGTGAGTAATGTAATTTGAAATAAACGAGACAAACTCATTTTTGCCCCTCTGAACAGTTTTCGCTGCCGCCTCCAGCCTGAGAGCATCGAAAGTTGTCACATCGGCATCCAAATGGCCACCTGGCGCTTTGCATTTGATCGATGCCATAGTGGAGAGCTTTTGTCAGATATAAATAACATCCTCGATATATTGGTTACTATCGATAGTTTATGTTGTTCGTTTTGCAGCCCTATTTACAAAAACAACAAAAGTCTGCAGAATAGTTCACAAATTTATTGGAAAAAAATTAAAATAACACAAGGAAGGAAGTCCTAAGAACTAAGTAGTCTTCTAGAAAGTGGATTCTCCTATCTTACAAAATTATATGTTTCGCGTTGAATCGGTAATATTGCTGGTAATAATCAACAGAATGTCAAAATCTGGGAATACGATTTTCTTTGCTATATTTAAAAAATGGCAAGTATATTTTGGTATACTTCCGAGGGTCAGACGGTATTTCTAATCGATAAAGCCGCTGTCACACTGCGCCATAAATCACAAACTTTCAGCTTTATTGTAAACATCGGAACAAAAATGATAGCCATAAGAAACCTAAAGAAAAGAATAAACGAGCATGGCGGATAGAGCAGAATTTCAATTGCACTACGAGTTCAATGCGGAAGGAAGCAGACATCATGCTAAATATTATCTCTCACATGCGGTTTGTTACATTATTTGGATAATCATTTTGCAAATGTAATCAATTTATTGTGTTTCTAGAACTTTAGTCTTGTTCAGGCAGCCGATGTACGACACATCCATTGCCCACGTTGTTACTGGCGAGATCTACTCCGTAGCACCAAGTCGGAAAGTACTGAAGAGCTGAAGCGTGACGTGCTTCATCATAGGTGCCTTGGAGGATTTGCCTAGGGATGTCTTCTGCGATGTTGTCACGGTCAAAATAGGTGGTTGGCGATTTCTGCTCCCAGGTGGTAGAGTTGAAAGTCACGCAAATGAGTGACCAGTCGGAAACTATGGAACGCGAAAGTAGATGATCGACTGTCGCTGCTGTTCCCCCCGGCAAGAGTTTTCAAATTTTGGCAGTGACAGCCACAACCAACAATGACGGCCATTATGGTCCCAATGTGCGGCTTGAAGAGTCAGAGGAGAGTGACAATATATACAGATATATGTATTCGGCGAGGCAAAGGACGATTGTGTACCAGATAGGAATATACAGACGAGCATTGATTAGGCGCGACACGCAGAGAATGTGAGTATATCAGCGGTACGCATCTTTAAATGTATTTAATGATCAATCTTGTGTGTTTTCTTCCTCCACAGTTGGCCAATGAAGAGGCTGACAGCAATGTCTACAAATATCCCCTGAACATCGGCGCCTATTGGCTGCAAAGTTGTCTGAGCAAGATTTAAAAGAACATCATAGTGTCGCTGTCTGCCGATGTACTCAAGATCCACAAAAATGATTGCCAGCTCGCAGACAGCGACCCAGAACAAAATCAAGGATTCGTATTAGCGACATGTGTCGGAATTTGGTGTGGTGTCAAGCGATGCAGTGAGACGGTAAGGTGTGTATTGACTGTTCCAGCAGCTCTTCTTTTTATAAACTTCTTGTTTTGTGTTTTTCAGAAAATCGTATCCGTTTTCGTGTTCATAGAGCTGAAGGATGAGGATCGCACGCTTCTATTGCCGCTTTCCTACACGCAGATGGCCGATGGGGCCCATTGAACTCAGCTATGTGGGGATCCAGCTGAAGCGTGAATGTCTCCAGTTAATCCAACTTTTTGTACTGCGAAAGATCAAGGAAGGCCGGCGTGTCGATGTTCCCGGCAACCAAGACTATACCTTGTCCAACATAAGCGACTCCTACGTGGGCTGCGATCAGGAGTAGAAGGACTACAAGGATCAGGAGTCGAAGTGGCCGATTTCCAATCTGACAATCAGACCGAGTCGGATTAGGGCGTACGTTAAGATTAGTATACATAACAAATCCTACCCTAATAAAACATGTAGCATACTCTTGGGGCTACCCGATAATACCATCAATATTTTAGACCATCTTTTGGGAACTGGTTTGATTCAAGGTGGTTAAAATTGCTTTAAACCGCCATCTCCTGCAGTCCTTAAGGTCCTTGATGGATTCAAATGATAGAGGACATTGCCCAAATCAGAAGAAGGTGTGGCTTATCCTGATCCGACAAGACACAGCCCAGTTATAGCATTGTAACAATTCTGAATTACACGAAATTATGAAGTTGTACTCAAAAAATACTGTAGCATACTTGTAGCTACTTTCCTTTTGAAAAAATTAATTGGGGTTTCATAGCAACCAGCTTTTGACACAGTGAAAAATGTAAAAACCAGCTACCTTCTGCTGATTTCTGTTGGCCTGGTACTCGGTCTGAAAATTTACATTTGAGCGAAGCATTTTCAGAAGAATTTTGTTGTACTCAGTGGCGCCCCAACTCTGAACGGTAAATTCTCGAACTACGTTATTTTTGTTCCAAAAGTGGCTGTCGTCATCCCGGGGGCGCCACTGTGCAACAACGCTTTTTAGTTCCAAAAGAGGCCACCCTGATCAAGGGGGCGCCACTGTGCAAACAAATGGTGGTTGTTGTACAACAAAAACCACTTTTGTTGTACAACAACAACAACATAAATCGACAAGAACAACAGAACAGCCTTTTTTGTTGTTTTATCCTTTATTTGAAGGACGATCAGAACATGCCACACCTCCTCGTAATCGGATCGCTGGCTATCAGTCAGGATGCAAAGCAGCAAGCTGCTGTTTACAATAAAGCTGAAAGTTTGTGATTTATGCCGCAGTGTGTCAGCGGCTTTATCGATTAGAAATACCGTCTGACCCTCGGAAGTATACCAAAATATACTTTCCCTTTTTAATATATACCTTTGAAAATCATATTCATTTTGATATTCTGTTGAATATTACCAGCAATATAGGACATTCAACGCTGAACATATAACTTTGTAAGATAGGAGAATCCACTTTCTAAAAGACTACTTAGTTCTAGGGACTTCCTTTTATTTTTTTTTTTTTCCAATAAATTAAAATAATACCGCTGAATTTTGTTGTTTTGGTAAATAGTGCTGCAAAACGAACCAAGGGAACATTCAATAGGAACAGGCATATCGAGTATGTTATCATTATCTGATTATCTGATTATCATTAGCCTCAAATTCAAATAAACACAAAACATGGTATTGTTTTTAAATTTCACATTTTATTTTCTTTTGTTTTTCACTTCAAAAGGATTCGTAATTTAATCATTTGTCACACATTTTCGCTATCCTTATTTCGAGTGTTAAGTTGCATTTGCAATTGTATAATCATTGTGTATTTTCATTTGGTTTTTTTTACTCTTGCATATTTTTTTCTTTTCTTTGTTTTTCTTGTTCTCAAAAAGTATTAACATCCATTGCACATTTTTTTGTTCTTGCTCTTGTTGCAGTTGCTAATTGTGTTAATTTGTTGTTATAATAAAAATTCAATTTGTCTGCTGTTCATTGTTCATTTTGTTAATAACTACAGTTGTTTCCAATGCTATTGAGTTCTTTTTTTTCTTTATATCGAATTTGGATTTCGTTTCGTGGCATGTTTTTATGACTTATAAATCGTAATAAATATGCAATTGTTACCCTCGTGTATCCCGCTGCCCTTGCACTTGGACTTGCCAAAAGTAAAGTGTGATAAGAGATAACTAACAATTATGCTCAAACAAGACAAATGCCCGATAACAATATGTTAAAAGAGATTCAGCGCAACGGCATGCACGTGAACTTAATTAAATGAGTACATTGTTTGGCTGTCAAACATTCGTATAATAGAGACTATGTATATATATTTAATAAAAATGCTTTAAAAATAGTCAAATGCGTACAAAAAGTTTCACGCCATTTCGAATGTTGCCAACGCTCAGCTCATCGCTCATCGCTCATCATTCGCCATCAAATGAGTTTCATAATTTAACTATTACATTTTGCTAAAGTCTTCCAACTGACTGCCATGCCTCCTGTTGACTTTTGTTCATTATCATTAATTGTATTGTTTATAATTTAACCTCTGTCAAACTTATACAAACTGTAAAAATTATGTTAAAATGTTGTGATTTTTGTATTTGGTAATCTTCTCTTTGTTTGTCCTGTTACTCATCGATCGGTAGATCGATCATCGATGCACATTTATCAATTAGACTGTTGTATACATTTTAGAATTTCTATTTACTCGACATCTTATAGCTTTGTATGGTCTGTAGTTTCAATTATCATTATTATTATTATTCTCCATTCATCATTTAATTAAAGATTACATTTGTATATTTACTCGTAATTCAATTTGATTGGAAACCTAAAAAATGTTTTGATTATGTTTCGATTTGTTGCTACATGGTTTAATGGGACTTGGGGTTTTCAAAAAATGAATGAAATAACCTGTGAGAATGAGTGTGAGCAATGCCTGCAAGTACACTGAAAAACAAACCCATTGACAATCGCCACTTGTACGAACAGTGTACGTTTACGGCTGGAGGAATAAATAAATGTTCAGCAATTGGGGGATTTCATTATATTCCTGAATCGAATTAACATCCAAGCTGCATTCACAACCAATTAATTATTATTTCCCATTTTTTTGGTAGAATTTTCATTGAGTTTTGTTTTACTTGTATTGCAAGTTTTGTTAGTTATTCCTCTAAAGTTCATTCTAAAAAATTGAAAACCATATTGAGATATAGAGAAATTAAACAAATGTTCAATTTAGATCTCGGAAATTGTGCATTTGTCTATGGAGTTTTGTTTGGATTCGGGATTTACTTCTTTGCTTATCTATAATTCGGTTGTCATCGTTATTCATTTTTCTCAAAGTGTTCGAAGTGAAGTTCTTAATTATTATTGTAATTCTGCTAGAGTGTCTGTCGTCTTCTTTTGGTTTGTGTTCGTTTTCATGCTTTATGCTTATATATTCTTCTTGTGGTTTATTCAAACTTTTGTATAGTTTATAATTTACTTTTTTTAATGTTCGCGTCTGCTTTGAATTATTTTTGCTGCAATTAACGTTTGGTATTCTTGTACGAGTACTGTTGTGTCGTTTGGGATTGGGTCTGAGGAGAGGCCCTGAGCCCAATTTGGGTGTTTGGAGATGTGTTGTGTCACTTCGTTTTGTTATTAGTTTTCTTTTGTTAGTTTACCATTAAACATTTTGACTAAATTTTTGCTATTTTGTTTGGTTTTGTTTCATTTACGTGTAGTATGTGGTTTTTGTTTGGTATCTTTTGTGTTTTTTTTTTTTCAGTGTACTTCCCTAAAGACTAAACATTAGCATTGCTGCTGTTATTTTCATTTTTCATTTTCCATTTACGATTACGAGTGTGTCCATTTTTCATTTACTTCAGTGTGTGAGTGTGGGTGTGTGGCTTAATTGGCTAAAATTTCCTTATTTCTTTTGTTTAAGGTTGCAAATGACATTGTTTTGCTTACTGCAATTCTCTTGCCTTTTATGTTTTCGTGAGTTTTGTGTTTTAGTTTTATAATTTAAACTCTCTAATCCTAAGTACAATGTTTGCAATTGGCTTACGTTTTCTTCTCTTATCTGCTGCTTCATCTTCATCTTCCTCAATAAATGTATTTAAATCGAAATTTACGTTCAAGTCTTTTTCAGCGACAAATGCATTTGAATTTGTTCTCATATTTCTTAATCATTTTTATTCTTAATTCTTATTAAATCTGCTCAAAATCCTTTGCTTTAATTATGCTTTTATTATATGTTTTGCACTTTAAATACAATCAATATAAATCAAAGTCTTCTTCATTTTGGTTTTACTTCTAAAAAAGATCTCCAAGTATCTTTCTGTATGAGTGATTTATTCTCTTTTCTTCCCTTTGGTAAAAACGTAAACGTAAAAATGACACAAAACTTCTTCGATGTTTTATCCTTTTAAAAGGAGAGGACACACAGAGACACAGAAACCGAAACCCAAGCATTTCCCAAGAGTGAGCACTTCCACTTCCATTCAATTTATGTTCGCAATGCATCTTCATTTGGCGGAGGTACAGTTGTGCTTGAGAAATTCTTTCGGCTTCGGGTCTGCTCTGCTCTGTTCTGTTCTGTTCTGTTCGCTGTTCTGCTTTGAACTTTGAACTGCTGCCATTGTCTCTGCTGTTGCTGTTGCTGGCTGTTGCCTCACACTTGATTAGTTACTCGTAAAATTGAGAAATCGAACAAAGGAATTGAAGTTGTAAAGCTGTGAAGGCTTAAGAGCTCTTATGTTTGCTTAGCTTGATACTAAAGGTTTTGTTTTGCTTTTTCTGACTTAGTTTTTCACATCGTCTTTGCGGGTTGTTGACTGTGGATCTGTGCCTAAATTTATCATGTCTCGTGGTTTCCACACCGGGGACCCTACAATTAAATGAAAGAAAGAAAAAGATACAATGGAAACCATACATATATGAAAAATTATGAAATATTTTCGTTTTGGTTTTTGCAGAACTTAATTTGTAGTTTCGGTTAAAGTTTTAGTTTTTGTTTCTTTTTATATGGAAAATATAGAGAGAACGAGTTAGAAACAGAGAGAGTGAGAGAAAGACAGACAGAGAGAGCGAGTGGGAGCAGGGGCGTCTCCATTTGGTTATATACAATTAGTGTCGTACAGATTTTGATCAATAAATGTTCAGCCAATTTTCAGTCGGGGGTTAATCGTCTATTTCAAAAAAGCATGCAAGCAGTGCGACCAAAATACTCGACTTTGGGCGCACTTTTGGTTAGAAAAAATATAAGCAAAACTAATTATTGTTTAATGTAATGAGCACTACTTAAAAACGGGGTTACGCTACTCAATATAGTTTGGGGTGGGGTTTGGACTGGGGTGGGTCTCTGGGCTGTAGAGGGATCAGTACTAAGTTCAATAGCTAATATTTGTGGGTAAGGCTTAGATTGAGTACAGTTGTGTTGGCTAAAATGTTGACATCGCTTGGTCTGGTATATTTATTTCGATTCATCTTTTTTGTTTTTACTATAGTTATAGACTAGGTAAGTTCTCGAATTTCTGATCAACAGTTTTGCATTTTATGCCAACATTTTCTTTGCTGCCTCTGAAGTTTTTGTGTGTGTCTTGCTTGCGCGGGAGGGATTGGGGACTCCAATTCGTGATACAAAATTATATAGAGAGATATACATACATATATACAGACAGATACATATACATACATTTCAAGGGGAAAGTAATAATGGAAAATTGTGTCGGAATGAGTGGCCAAGCATTTCCCTAATTTCGAGATGAGTTTTTCAAATGCAAAAGTCAAAGAGAGCGTGATTCAAAATGATGAAAAAAGTTGTGCAACGCGAATAGATGGGAGTTTCATAAAATTCAATTTATGTATATTTAATTTAATTTTTATTTAGTGGCACACAAAAAGTTCTGTTTGCACAGCATACAGAAAATGAAATTTCTGAACAAAAACTTTGTGGGTGAAGGGGACGAGAGTGTGGAAAAATGCCGAATAAATTGTGAAAAATAGCGATTTAATTGAAGGAGTGGTGGCAGTGGTAGTGGTGGGAGTAGTGGTGGCAGGTCGAGTTGTGGGGGCACGTGTGTGTAACCATAAGACATATATATAGTTGTATAAATATATAATTCGATTATAATGTACTTTTGCATTAGATATTAGCGCTCTTTCGGCAGTACAAGATTTTGTTTCAGATCTGTGGCACACTCTCGATACTTCGATGTTTCTTTTGTTATTTGATTTTGTTAGTTTGGTGATTTTTCATTTGAGAAAATGCAAAACGTTCAAATTGGAAAAAGAAAACTTGCAAAGTCCCTTTGTTGGTTTCTGTATCAGTTCGGTTTCTGGTTTGTTAGTTTGTTAATTAATTAATTAATCAAGCGATGCCAACTAATAATATCAAGTGTTTTGTAACAGACACAACAGACACACAGATACGCTATATGGATATAATATTGTGTGGATAAGAGATGCATCCACATCGGAATAGGCGGGAAAAGAAAACCTAGTACTAACTTAACATGCCTTCGCCTCGTCTTCGTTCCGACTTTGACTTCGACTTATATATATTGTATGTTGTATGTATATATGTATCTAACTCAATTCAACTTTATTCAAGCTTGTGTGTTCATTAGTTATCTGGGATTTTAGTTATCTTTGAGATAATTGTGTGTATTTCTGTGTGTGTGTGTGTGTAAACATAATGGAATATCACCCGATTAATTGTTTAATGACTAATTCAATTCGACCGCTTTACTGCTTTCTGCTTGCTGCTTTCTGTCGCCTAATTACAAATGAACATTGTTGCACTTACCTGCTAAGCAACTACAAAATAAATTTAAATGCATAACTAATTGAGGGAGGGGGCCAGAATCTCAGTTTCTCAGTTTCTCAGTTTCTCAGGGGGTAACCAGTGTCGAGTATTGAGTAAACATACATATTTATGAGGGGGGATAGGCCAGGTAATCGCTGCATGAACTCGATTAGATTTCTGTCTCTCTGTCCGTCAGGGGTTTCTGGTACGGGTTTGTGCGTATAAGATTCGTATTTGTATTCATATATAAGTATTTTATGTCATATGTATTGATGTATGTTGTGTATTTCCCATATGTCATTTCGTTTAATTGCATTTCAATTGCGTTAGTTCGAGTTTAGTTTAGCTGCGAGTTTTCCCATTATTGTTAGTTATATTTGTATTGGTTATTGGTTTTAGGTTTAGTGTTCGTTTTTATTCATTTGATTTTCAAGTTGTAGCTCGCTCGTTCGCTCGCTCATTTGTTGTTTATTTTTTGATTATTTGTTTAGTGGATTTAGTGGATGTTCGAACACGAACATTTCACTGTCCGTTCGACTGTCTGCCCTTGTGTGTGTGTGTTTGTGTGCACACATGGATTACCGTTTACCGATTACATTTGATATTTGTTTTAGCTTTTACTGTGTTACGGTTTTACACTTAAATGTTCTTCCATTTTGCGGTCTCCACTTATTTCTATTTAGTTGCATTTATTTGTGTATATTTATATACTCGTATTTCGGAGCACTTCCATTTTATATGCCGTATATGCTGCTGTATATAGTATGTATGTATGTATGTACTTCTGTATATATACTATATGCCATATTATTTATGTATATTTTTTGATTTTTGAAAACGGTTTTCCCTTTTGATTTTGCTGCTGTGAAGCCCAGTGTAAACTGTAAACTGTAAACGTTTCTTGAAGCTTAAAACTATTTTGACTATGACTTTCATTAGTTTAGTTATTTTTTTCCCCTTTGAATTCTTGTGTTACAACAACCTGAAATTTGATCTTAATCATTTTGCTAGTCGAGTGTTTGTTTGGGAGGTTTGGGGCAGGCCAATAAAGAAAGGATATTCCGTTGACCTGGCCACAGGAGATGGGCGGAAAGGAGAGTTTCGGATATACAAATACCTATAGTATATGGTATATAGGATGAATGGATATTTTCTGTGGCTACCGTTTGTATACATATATGTACATATACAAATACATATAATACTGAACATTGAGGTACGACTTACGATTATCATTCTTTGAATACACACCACCGATTGCCTGGTATTCTGCTTATTGTATTTTCTGATTTAGTGAAATGTTAAAACTGGAAATGCCGAAAAACATACGAGTACGCGCGCGTGTGTACGGGGTTGTACGAGTAGGAAATTGTGATTTGATTTCGACTTGTATATGCATGTATATTTGTTTTATATACTCTATAAAAAACCTATAAAAATCATACAAAAAACCATATGCATATATGCAAATTATTTGTCACAACATTATTCTCACACACACTCGAAAATTTGTCTAACTAATTTTATCTTTTGTTTTCCGTGTAAATATTCCCCACTTTAGGTATACGTTTTGTTAGGTATTTATTCTGTTAACCCTATAGAATGTTGGCCAAAATCCCGCATTGGGCCAGCTCAGTTGCAGTTTTCCTTCATTTCGCTTGATGGGTAATTACAATTTTTTGATTTCATTCGCAGGCTCCACTCCCGACTGCTTCAGACATCAACGTTGCCAGTGACATAGTTTTCCCTTGTTCTTTCAGCTCTCTCTTTCTCGGCTCTACTAATAGTTGGTTTGTTGGCGACTTCCCTTCAACTTTCTTCTGTTTTTGTTTTTCCCTTTTTTGTGTGTTTGTGTGCGGTTGCTTTTAGTTTTTTTTTTCTTGTTTTTTTTGTAATTTTGTCCCCCCCCCCCCCCACCCCATCTACGTATCTATCAACTTGAGTTGAGTTTTAGTTTGCCAGTAAGTTGGGGATGCATGTCTCTTGGTAGTTTACTTGAGTGCGAGTATGAATTTCAACTTTAGTTTAAGTTTTATTTTCTCTGCTCTTTTGCGTTTTGTTTTATTAAGCTTTGTTCCGTTGTTGTTTTCCTACGCAATTACGGCACTTGAGTATTGTGTGTGCAACGCGGCGTATATGTACGTAATATGCACCCCTTCTTCGTGTGCCACATGACGGAACATCCGCACATTTTCTGTGTAAATCATGGTGAAATGCTCGGATACTGAAGCTTAAATAATTAACTAGAAATGGCGGTGGCACACACATTATGCAACCACCTCACCTGCATCGTCCTCCAGCCTCCATTCTCCTTGGGTTTCTGATTAGTTTTGGTTTTCGGTATGAACTATGGTACTCTAAAGAGCCAAAAACTACGCGCGGATCTAGGGTGACTTACATGCTAAACACTTACACAACGAGTACGAGTAGCGAGTAACGAGTGAAACTGTTTTGAGTTTTCTATACGATTGTGGTTTATGGTTATGCTTTCTTCCCGGGGTATTTGTAGATTGTATATACTGTATACTGTTAGGTCTTTGATTTCAATCCCTTGTGTTTGAAGTTCGAGTACGAGTATTTTGGTTATTTGTTTGTTATGTTTAGGTTATGTTAGGTGTTGCTTTTTGCATTGCGTTTACGTATATCTGAGCTGAGTTCGGTTAAAATTAATTTGTTGAGGCATTCGGGTTGTTGTTGCTGTTATCTTTGGTTGCATTCTGAGTGGATTCAAATAACTCTTCTAGTCTACGTAGATACGTTCCCTCCTCAGTCCTCTCTCCTTGACAGCCCAGTACCAGTTCTGTGCCTAGACGTGTATCTCGAAGTAGTCGTGACAGTCGACACATCCCCCGGAATCGCCGCCACCCATCTCTGGCACGAATCCTATCCCTCCCGTGGCCGTAGGCTGCGCACTGACCACCACCATGCCTCGGGGCGTTTTCTTCCGCGTGCGACTTTGCCGCACGCGGGACTTATGCTAGGAGGGTCTCTTCTGGTACAGACAGTCAATGCATGTGGTGTACTCGGGCGCCGAGGAGCTCAGCTGGTAGCCACCCGCCTGCTGCTGCGGATCGTGGGTGCAGCCTCCAGTATATCCGGAGGGAGGTCCGTAGCCACCAATCTCGGGCACATAGCTGACGTACTGCTGTGGCTGGTGCTGGTGTTGGTGCGGTGGCTGGTGCACCGGCATTGGCTGCCTGGGCACTGGATCGTAGATGGGCTGTGAGAACGTGTTCTCCGCCGACTGGGATCGCAGGGGTCCCGAGCTATAGACTACGTAATTTCGATCCGGGGAGACTCCATAAGCCCGCTGGCCATAAGAGCTGCTTGTCGTGGTGCTGTCACGCGATGTGGAGCGTTCCAGGGATTTGCTTAGGCGACTGCGTCCGCCACTGGTTCCACCGGTTCCATTGCCTCCACTGGCATACCGACCACTGGGCGCTGCGGCCACATAGTGATCGCTGCAGGTCTGGTTGTCGTAGACCGGATAGTACTGATATGTCTCCTGGGGGCGCGGTTTGGTGCCCGTCTCGAAGCTGCCGTGGGCGGACATGCTGCGCTTGCGCCCGCCGTAGGGCACATCCAGATTGTGATCGGATCCGCCGTGGCTGTCGAAGCTGCTGCGAGGCGAGTGCCGGAGACAGGTGCTGCCCCTGTCCGGAGAGAGGTGATCCAGGCTGCTGCGGGGCGAGATGTGCGGCGAGAGCGTTTCCACGCTGCACACATGCGATGGTCCGCCCTTTTTCAGGCAGCTGCGATCGGGGCTCTTCGACTTGGCCGGACTGGAGGGGGGCTTCAGTATGCCAGGAGCCGGACTGGTGTGCTTCAGAATGCCACCACCCTCCGAGGATCGGCGGGGACTGGGAGTGCGTCGGCCGCCCGAAATCCGATCTTGAGAGTTGTCCCGGGACGAGCAGACACTCAGCCGCTTGCCCTGATCGCTGAGACTCGTGCGCGGAGACTTGATCTTGATGATGCGCACCGGGGAGCTGCCCTGGGACTTGCATCGGTCAGGCGATATGTAGATGCTCTGCCGCTTGCCGCTCTTCGGCTTTGAGGAGACGGGTCGCTCCGGTGACTTGGCCTTAAATATCTTGTCCACCTTCTTGTCAATCACCACGATGTGGGAGGCCAAGCCGGAACTGGTGGTGGCCTCTTCCTCGGTCTCATCGCCGGATCGTTCCGACGGTCCTGTGGTGGTGCCCGTGCTGTCCGACTCTGTGGCGGGCCGCGAGGGCGACTCAATGTCCACGATCACCGTCTGCTGGGTGTTCTCAACGATGGTCTGCGGCTCTGGCGACAAACTCGAATCGTTCTGCTGCTGATCGGCCGCCTCTTCGCCTAGATCCTGCGGATCGAAGGCCTTCTCTCGCAGACCGGCCATGTAGGCCATAATGTCACAGGTGCCATCTGCCAGATTCTCCTGCTCCAGGTCACTCAGGTGCTTGTCCATGAAGCGAGCTGTGGCGTCCGTCTCGGTCGGTTCTCTGTCACGGTCGCGTCGTTGCTTATGCAAGGACTCCCTGGCCTGGCCCACTGCATGGTGCTGATGGACTACCGCCACCTGCTGCGAGGCGGCCAAACGCTCCGCCTCGCTCTCAAATATCTCGATCACCTCGATCTCCTGCTTGGGCGACTGTCGGGGCGATTGACGGGGCGACTGACGCGGGGACAAGTGCAAGGTCTGGTTCTGTATCTGTATCTGATGCTGGGTCTGGGTCTGAGGCTGATTGGGGTCGGAACTGGCGAATAAGCTACCACTACTGCCTAGACTTATATTAAAGGAGGCCGCCACCTGGGCGGCATGCACCTCGGACTCAGATCTCGAGTCCGTCTCCGACTCGTCGCTGGGCTTACCTAGGTCCTTCATCAGCACCGGCTGGTAGCTGGCCGGCGGATGCGATGATTGTATCAGGCGCGCCTGGCTCCCAGTGCTGCCCACCGAGAGTGTCGATGTGGTGCTACAAGATTCAGATGCGGATGCGGATTCGGGGCGAGAAATGGAGAAAGGCAGAGAGCGTAAGGCGTAAGGGTCGAGCAATAGTCGAGGAGCGATTGGCTCTCGGATATACGGGATCTACCGGAGCCTCGCACTTACCTCAGCGTCAGGTGATTGGGCGTGCGGCCCAGTGTGGCCTTGGGCCTGATTGTGCCCTGCTGTGAGTCCTCCTCCCCCTCTGACTTTGTTCCCGGATCAATCCGCTCAATGTCGCTGCTATGATGATGCAAGTGCGGCTGCCTGATTGGCGGCGGTGGTGGCTCCCTTGGATGTGGATGTGGGTGGGGATGTGGATGCTGATGAGTCTGCTGCTGTTGTTGCTGTTGCTGCTGCTGCTGTTGCTGGGGTTCTATGGAGGAGTAAGCGATTTCTTTATGGCATAAATGTGTGTGTGATGAAGCGATGGATGGAGCGTTGGATGGCATTTGTTAGCGAGCGAGTTAGAAAGCGGCTGGGAGGAAGTCAGTCACTTACCTGTCACATCGCCCACCGTCTTGCTGCGGCTGCGGAAGCCACTCGGCTGCATCGGCTGGCTGTGGCTGTGGCCAGGGCCAAAGTGTACGCTCGGAGGCAGATCGTCTGCCTCCTGGCTGCCCGACAGATTGTCATAGTCGATATTGCCCGCCGAGTGCCGCTGCGAACCCGATTTTTTCTTTGGTTTACCCAGCGTGTGAGAGCCATGAACGATGGTTATCTGCTCAAAATAGTCTGATATTAAAACATCCATTCAGAAGAGTGCAACCCCCTGGGGTTTACCTGCTGCTTGGGTCGTTCCAAGGTCTGGGAGTTGCCCGCATAGCCGTGTCCGTGTCCGTGTCCGCTCATTCCCTGCGATGAGTGGCCTGAAACGGAGCCGGAGCTGCCGCCAAAGTTCTTCATGGGAATTGACATGTTCCGCACGCTCTCGCGTATGATCTGGCGTATGGTCTTGAGGAACGCATTCCGGAAGTCCGCGGTGCTGTTGGACAGCACGTAAACCTTCTCGGAGCGTCGCTGCAGCTGCGAACGCAGATGGATGAGCTCCCACAGGAAGTGCGAGTCCATGTCCTTGGCCGAGCTGGCACGCACCTGTACCTCGGTGACGGGTATGAGCACTTGATAGCGTATAATCTCAACCTCATTGGTGGCATTCTTGCTCGAGACGCCCTAAAGTAAAGAGAGTTGTGGCTTAGTGGAGGATTTCCAATGGATTTCTTCTCTTTTCTTACCATCAATTTCTTCTTTTGTCGCAAGCGCTCCTTACAGAGGAACACAACCGCCGACTTGAACACAAAGCACATGGCATGCAACTCAAGTCCCTTCTTAATCTTGCCCAGAAAATCGGAGATATTGAGCCACTCGACACCGCCATAATACAGCAGGTCGCCTAAAACAAAACACAAATAAAATATGCATCAGGCAATGTTCAGTTTCTGTTGTTTGTAGATCTCACCTGGACTCAAATCAATGGGCTGCTTGCAGGACTTTTGATGCTGCCTGAACAAGTGATCAAATATGGCGCCGTATTCCTCGTGGATGCGCTGCATCTCATTGATGTGCTCGGCAACCTTCTCCATGCCCTTAAGGGCCTCTACAAAATGGAGCAAAGAGAGTTTAAGATGTTAAGACTTTTTCTGTTGTACATAGGAGTATGTAAAAGGACTTACCACACAGATGTACATGCTCGTCAGCCCGGGTATCGGTTAGATTGCGCATCTGCTGGAGCAGCAGCGGATACTTGAGAATGCGCTGAATGGGCTTGATCAGATACGACTCCAGGGTGCTGCTGTGCTGCTGCTTGGGATTGCGTGCCGCCAGGAACTCCTGCAGGGCATGATTGCCTTCATCTGGGTGTGGCAGTTGCAGATGTAGATGGCAGATGGAAAATGGCAGTGTAGAGAGGCAAAATGGAAATGTAAATTGAGACATTTGCCAAATGATTCGATTTCAATGGACGTTCGTTCGAGTCGGTGTAATTAATTGCGACGTTGGCCCATTAAGGACGATGAGACGAGAGAAGGCGTACCGAGGCGGGCACAAGGATATGCAGTTACAGGGATAACGGCAAGGCACGGCACGGCATGGGATGGCACGGTATGGCATGGCATTGGCAACGTCACAACGTCGACAAGAAAATGTCATTAACTTGTTCTTATTGTCAGCCGAGCAGCTTTTGATAAAGGCAAAGTCAAAGCCTGTCTGTAGCAGGAGCGGGAGCAGTAGCAGGAGCGAGAGCAGATTTACGTCTAATAGCGCCTGTCGCTGGCTGCTTGTCCTTCTGCCAGTCTGACAAGTCTCCCGCTCCTGTTACTGCTGCTCCTTCTCCTGCTGCACGTAACGAAGGCACTTAAGTGCACTTCTTGCTATAATTAATTATCCTTTCAACTTTTTGCATAAAATTTCATGCAACAGCCAGGCGCAGTGAACGTTGTGCCACGTTCTCCCTGCCACTACTGCTGTCCCCCTCCTGCTCCATCACTTTTAGGTGGATGATGGCACTGCCTCCCCCCCCCCCCTTTTGGGTTACCTTGACAACGCACTGATGCTCTGGAGCTTAGCTCATTGATTGCAAATACATTTTGCATACATTTTTACCTCCAACGCTTTTGATTAGCTCTTCCCAGGCAGCCAGATACCATGGATCCCATTTGCCTCAATCAATGTTGCCAGGATAGTTTCGAGTGTGTGTGGAGTGTGGAGAGGGGTGAAGGAGATGCCAGAAGGATGTGGTTGCCACAGGTAAAAGTGTGTGTGGCGTGGTGTTAAGCTTGGACTAAGTCTAATTTAATTATGACATGTTGCTGCCTCTCCCCCATCCCAGCCGCTCTTTCTCTCAGCGCCAGCAGTGCCTTTTATCCGCCTCACTGCAGCAGTAGGCCACTTTCTTTCTCTCCCTCTCTCTGTATTCCCCCACCCTCTGTTTCTTTCTCCTGCCACACACAAACAAGCACTAAAACACACACTGGAAGTCTCTCCGGCTGCTCCTGTGGCATAGTTTTGGGTCTCCATTTGTAAGCGTGTCATAATTCTACAAGTTTAATTAACAAAAGATACTTGACAGTGGCCGCTGCCACTGCCACTGCCACTGTCTCCTGCCTTGGCATGAATATGAATATGCTGCCGCCCCTCAATCTGCCACCATGGCGGCCCACGCCTTATGCCTTATTGTTCTCTTCCCCGTTACAGTTTTGTTGGTTGCCATTTGCGGTTGTAATTATTCATTTAACTTGCAAATCATTTTAAAGTGAACGCCTCATCGTGGCCGTGGCATGCCACACAATTGAAGCGAATAGTTTGCCAATTGTTGCCGCACAGCCGGGTTCGGTTGGGTTCTGGGGCTCTGTTGTTTAACTTGCAAAAGTTTCTTGCCTCAACTTCAACTCAAATAGACTTTGACTCTTGACGCTGATTGCAATAGGTGGGAGTTACAACTCCAGTGCGTTTCGACAGCATAAGACAGTGGAGAATGTTAATTTGCCACCCCCATCTGGGCATTCCTTTTGATATATTCCCTGATATATGTAAATGGAATGCGCATTTGATTTGTCTGGGGAAATACTCACTCGGATGCAGGACCTTCTGCGCCTTGCTGTGACTCGCACAGAACGATGAATACAGCTTAAAGTGATTCACATAGTACAGAAAGGCTGAACCAATCGCAAAGAGTACATTCTAGAGGGAAATACTCAAAGATACAGTACACAGATCGAATATATTATTGTCAGCACTCACCCTGAACTGTCCGCAGTGCTCGAACTTATTAAACTCTGGTTCTAGATCCAGTGACTCCTCGAGATTCTGTAGAAACTGTCGCTGGAATGTGACGATCTCGTGGATGTTGCCAAACAGCGCATTGATCTCGGCATTCGAGAGGAATGTCTCCCGCTTCATGGGCTCCAGATAGTGCTCCAGCAGATTGTTCAAGTGCTGTATTCAAGATTGTGATTGTGGATTACTTTTCGCGTTCAATAAATAACAAATTACGGGACGGGCAAATACTTTTGGAGGGACAAACAAAAATACATAAATTAAATTAAAAAATCAGCGACCACTGTCTGCGGAGTGGATCCTTTTGGAGTTGGAGTTGGAGTCTGAGTCTGAGCCTGTGTCTGCGTCCGAGTCCTGCAGGCCACAACAATCCCCATCGGAGTTGGCCAGCGGTTCTGCTCGGTTTGGCGCAGAAAACTTTTTAGTTTTTGCAAACTGGCACAAAACATGAAACAAAAAACAGAAAAAGAGACTGGGCTGGGCTGGGCTGGACAGAAATACTCATACTGTAGCATCGCCACAGGCGCGCGCTTTCATTTGGAACAATACTTCCGGGCAGGCAGCGAATGTGGAGGAGGAGGAGGAGGAGGCAGCCACAGCCAGTGGGCCACGAGGTTGGCTATGGAGCAGTCCATGCTCCGCAGATAAGACCCGAAGCCATCGCCATCGCCGTGGCCGTTGCCGTTGCCGCAGCGGCGCTTTACATAATTTCTAAATTATAATAATTATTTGTATGCTTCCTGGGCCCTGGACCCTGGCTTCGACGGTGGCTTAAAGCAAACAGTTGGTGGGCGTGGCGTGGAGGCTTCGAATCAGGGAAAACAAAGTCCGGGACACAGTTAAAGGATTAAAATTTGCATTTTTAATTGCAAGCGGACTTTTGTTCCCCTTCTATCCCATCCGCCTTTTGGCCTTCAGACTTCAGACTCAACTAATGAATACCCGACGACTGTGACTGCGCCTGGGACTACTCCGACTACCACCGACAGTGTGGTCGATGGCCAGGATTTGGTTGATTCCAGGGGCGGACTGTTGGCGAGTGTTAATGGGTGGGTTGGCTGACTTACCTTCACATAGGTGCGCTCCGTGTCCACCAGTTCCATGACGACTTTGCGTAGCTTCTCCGCATCGGTTAGCTGCCGTGATGGGGTCAATGCCGTTGTCGACACCGATGAGGTGACAGAGCCTGTGGGGCTCGATTTGCGTGTTTCCTGGGGTGAACGACAAAATCCGGTAACCTTAACATGGGGTTCATGTTGTCAGGTTCATGTTGTTGTTGTTGTTGTTGTGTTGTGTGGTGTTTGTTGTAGTGTTTGATTGTTGCATGATGAGGAGAGAGTTGTTTTTTTTGTTGTTGTTGTTGTTTGTTTGTTGTCGTGAAACGAAAAGGAGCAAACCCACACAGACACAAAGAAACACACACGAAAAAGGACACGGAATAAAAGAAACAAAAAAGAGATGCGAGCGCATGAAAAAGGAGACACCAAATAAATGGCAATAAACAGAAAATGAAGTTAGCAAAATGACAGAAGATACAGATAGACAGGCGATAGTTTATACGAGTACGAGTAATACCAGCAGGAGGAGGAGCTATCAGGGCAGGGCAGGGCCGGGCAGGGCGGGGCGCTAGAGGCTCATTCTGTGTAGAGGGTGCCACTTTCAAGGAGACTCTAACTCTGAGACATCTGCGGTTCTAAATGAGTGTCACGTCCTTGTCCAAGTTGTCTGTGTTCCCTTCTGTTCTCCTCTGTTCTGTGATGCAGCGGTGCGCCCTATCCACCCCCACCCCACCGCCAAGCGCTTTCTGTTCGTGCAGCCTTTGGTGTGTGTTGCGGCTAAAGTGTTTTGTGGCCACTCTCTCACTCACTCTCGCCTTGGTGTGTTCCACCATTTGCTTGCTCTGCCTGCTCTGCTCTCTGCTGTTGCGGTTACAAGCACATTTGGCACTGACAGTTGACGCTTGACGGTTGACATACAGTGGGTGTGACACATACACAGCGTACATCTCTCATGGGAGGCGCCTCCGACTGCCATCACCCCGTCCTGCTTTTGAATAAAGATGTAGAAGATGCAGGGATATGAAGTAGAGCTGGCAACAGCATCCTTCTTCCTTCGGAGCAGCCAGGCCAGTCTTCTACTTAAGCCATTCCTCTCGGTCTTTTGGTCTTTCGTTCTATCTGTATCTCTTGACTTTTTCTCATATTTGTTTAGCTCTTCTTCTTGTGCCCCTACTTGTGGCACACACACACACACACACACACACACACAGAAAAAGTGTTAAATGGAGCATTCCTGATAAATTGACTGAGCAACAGTGGCAATGGCACGCAGAAGAGTGGCAGCAAAATGAATTTGCATTGTAAATGCCTAAACAAACAGAATTCTAACCGAAAAAAGGTCTTGAACTTGAGTCAACAATTGGAGACACACAGAACAATGACAGTGAGAGAGAGAGAGAGAGAGAGAGAGAGAGAGAGAGAGTGAGTAGAGAAGAAGTGTCTAAGAATTGTTGAAAATTACTTGGATTACTCGTGGCAAATGGCATCCATTCAACTATTTATGGCCTTATCCCCCAATGCAGTTCATCTTCTCAGGCAGCAGCCGTGACAGCGTGCGAAATCCGTTTGTCACGCTGCCATCACTAGGATAGTACGGTAATCTCTCTCTCTCTCTCTCTCTCCCTCTCTCTTTCTTCCTTCTGCCATTCGTATCTTTCTCTTTTTCTTTTGCCTGGGAATTGCACTTGTCATTGTTTGGCCTCGCATTGTGGAGACATTTCACTTTTATGCAGTTGCACTTTGTGTATTATTACTTCTCTCAGTTACTGTGTTTGCCTCTTCTCTCCCACCTTCTCCTACTCTCCCTCTCTCTCTGCTGCAGCGTGTTCTTGTCTACTTTTAACTGTTTTATTGTTCTGCATTTTTGCGCTGCCATGCTGATTTGCATAAGCGACGCCGACCCAAAAGCCAACACAGACGGCGACGACGACGCCGTCAAGGGGGTAGACGGGGGAGTGGAAGGCTGGTCTACGGCCTGGCCTCCAGGTGGAAGCTTATGGACTCAGGTGGTAGGACACACACCACTGGTGTGGCAGTGCCAACGTCTGTGGCAGTTGCAGCTGCTGCTGCTGGCCCAAAGATGAAAAATTTGAAAATGTCTTGAATTTCAGTCTAGGCCTCTGCCTGCGCTTCTCCCCTCCTCACACTCTTTTCCCTCTTTGCTCTTCTCTGTGTGAAATGTCAACTTGAATTAAAAGGATTCCTTATATAACACGCCACCCACTGCCCCCTCCCGCTGTTCCCTCTCCGCTCAGAGGGTTTTTGTGTGTCACAGTGTTCAAGTATCATTAAATGAAGTGGGTTTCTGCCAGTTTCGAGCACACTTGGGGAAAGCATATCCAGAAAACAAAGTGCATTCTGTGGCATCTTTGCTTGTTGTTCTATCTGCCGTCACTGTCCCCTAAGTCCCCCATCCCCGTACCCGTCCCCACACCTCTTGTCTAGCCTACGACCCACTGGGCAAAGCGCAGCAGACACATTCGTTGTTGTGCTGTTCAGTTGTATATATACTATATAGTGGATATCCTTGATATTTTTATGCCAGGCACATTTCTATTTGTGACGTTTATTGTTCGTCCAGGGCTTGAGCCTCTTGACTGCTGCTGCTGCTGTTGCTGCTGCGACGGCGGTGGGCGGTGGGCGGTGGGCGGCCGACCCAATAGGCCAAATTTGCCATGACATCTTGAGATGTGTCGAGACGACACACAAACACAACACACTCGCCTTGTGGCTGCTCCACTCGTTCTTTTCTCTCTGCGGCTCGCCTTGGGGCCAACTCTGGTATCTTTGGTATCTCTGGCAACCCCCCCGTCCGTTCCCTTGGCCTGTCTTCTCTGTGTCTTCATTCTTCGAGTACGCAGCACGCAGAGTACATCTCTCTCTATCTTTTTGTGCAAATTTCAATTTGTGCACATTTCAATCACAAGTGCTCATTGGGGAGTAGTGGAGTACACAGAAGGAGGAGCAGAGCATCTACCATTCTACACTTTTCTATCCCCAAGCTTAAACCCAAACCCAATCCCTTTGGTAAGCCCCCGTGTATCCCTTCGCCTTCGTCATGTTTGGCGCTCGTTTTAATAGTTTCCGTTTCCGCTTTGCGAGTTCAAAGCAATTTGATTTGCCTTCCAAGTGGCAAGTTCCTGTGGGATACTGCTGCAAGTACGACTCGAGGAGTTGGGGGGACGATGAGGGGTACAGGGGTGTACGGAGGGTGGTGCCAAAAGTGGTGCAGGGCAGGGTTACTAAGTAGCGGGGGTGCTGGGGTCATGGCATCGAGAGAATTGTGTTTGCGTTTTTCCTTTATCCATATTTCTTTATATTCTTCTTTCTTTATATTTCCGACTCCCCCTACTTACTTGCTCTGCGGTCTTCAGCAGATTCTCAATCTCAAAGCTGCTCGTACGCGACGTGGGCTTGGCCACGCCCAGTCCGCCAACGACAACACCGCCACCCGCCGCCATTTGGGCGGCCACCATTTGTGGGTCCACGAAGGAGGGCGCCGGCGAGCTCTCCGCCTCCGGCGAATACAGATCCTTGCCATTGCCATCTGCGAAACAAAAGCCAAAGATAACAAAATGCGGCGATTAAGTATTAAGTATTATTATCTTTATCATTACTATTATTATTTTTGCTATTACTATTTTTATCATTTTCATTTTGTTATTATTAGTTTCCGCAGCCCATAATTAGTTGTGTGTCCCCACTCTCCCACTGGCACTGCCAGCCACTGGTCTTGGCTTGGTATCGATTAAAATGTACAAACATACATAAATAAATATGTATACTTTTGTATATGTAGACCCAGCAGAGGGTATATTTATTTTGGCATGGTTAGGGAGATATTGTTTTATATTGATCGTGTTTGCCTCGCATTGAGAAAATGTGTGGAACACGGTCGGGATATTACGATTAATATGAATATAAATATGCATTTTTAGTAGGTATTTTTTAAGTCGCAATGTCAGCCGGTGGCCTGTGTTTTTTACTTGATTTCCGTTCGGTTAGTTCTTGCTTGTTAATTTTAAATTCCATGTTTGTGCAGTAAAAAGAGCACGAAGGAATTTTAATACTGGCAAAAATGGCACGCGTCCTGCTTCCGTCTCTCTACCCACTGCCATTCCCTTACCATGGGACCGGCTCAAAGCCAAAAGTAATAACGACAAAAAACAGCCAGAAGCAACAACCACAGCAACAGCAACAGAAACAGCAACAACAACAAGCTGTAATGATTATTGCTGCAATGTGTTTGCCACAACGTCCACACTCACATAGGGCAAGAGGGAGAGAACGAGCGGGGGGAACTAAGGGGAACCAGCGACGCTTTTAACCGAAACAAATTTATGGACCATACATACTGGTGCTCGTATGTGGCCAGGTCCTATATCTACATATATATATATATATAGCTACTAGTGAGTATATTTGTGTTTCTTCCATGTAGTTGGAAGTAGTTTTTCCCGGCACCCAGGAAGCATTTAAAAGCCATGTCCTTGAACAACCGCCTGGGTGTCTCGGTCCACGTCCACGTCCTCGTCCTGGTGTCTTGTCTTGTCTTTGCCTTCCGTGCATGCAAATTTTCGGTAGAAACAAATTTGAACACTTTCCTTACACAATTTGACACCACACCACACACGTGTTCGTCCAGGATACGAGTATTGGAAATTGCCGTCTTATAAATTTCAGTTTGCGGTCTCCTTTTGCCAAATTGCACGTAGTCTGGGCCCTGGTCGTTGTCTTGGTCGTAGTCCTCGTGCTGCTCCCTGCTCCCTGTTCCTGTTCCGTTTACTGTTCCTTGAGCTAGAGCTAATAACTTCTAGACGTGCCAAGCTGAATTTGTCGATGGCAAATAACTTTTTCAGTGTGAGTGGCTTTAAATAAAGTACGAGGACTACGACTAGGACCGCAGCTTGTTTATGGCAGGAGATACGCTTGAGAAGACCTCAAGTTTGGGAACTCTTTTCACCCCCGACCCATGAAGTGAAGGATACTACATAAACAACTTGGCAAGAAGTCGTCTTTTGCATAGTTTCTTTTGGGGTTAATGATCCCTTGAATGGTTACCAACTTTTGTGTGATATTTGACTCTATTTTTAAGGGCAGTTGCTGGTTTGCTAGGCTACGAATTTTCATGTTCTTGCTTATTCAATATTGTTAATTGCTAAAGGAGTTTCTGACTTTTGATTGAAACAGAGAGGCAGATTTATCTATGTCGGATCTCATAAGAATTTAGACATTTATGTTTATAATTCCTTATGTTTTTGGTTATTAAATGAAATTCACTGATTTTCACTGCATTCATTTGGTGCATGATATGGTTTTAGTTTCAAAAGTAAGTTAGAAAATCTTATAATTGGGTGGAGGAAAAATCTGCCTTTAGTTTTAGCAAATTAATACTTTCTGCAAAGGGGCAATGCATGAAAATCAAATTAATTATCTACTGATTAATTAATATAAGTATATGAGTCTACAATTATTTGGTAGGTAAATTGAAACAGTAAATCGTATTGAATTTCATTGAAGATGCAAAACTCTCAGCGTATAATTTCGGGTTATTTAATAGCCTTGCAGCGCTCCTTTTTTGGGCCATGATTCTGATTGCACGAGTGCCAGTGGTGGAATCGATCAACAATTTCGGTGGAAAATTTAAGTACTGGGAGAGGAAAAAGGCTCTCTGTAATCAGTTCACTGCCCAAAAACCCCACTGCCCCCACACTCTTTGATTGTTCCTTTTTATGTTCCCCTTTAAGCTGTGTCTGTTCTCTGTTATTGCTACTCCCACTCCTCATCTCGTTACCCGCTTTTCCCATATGTGTGTCAAAAAAAAAGAGAAGGAATAAATATTAATACGCACACACATACTCGTATATATTATATGTGTTTTTGCGACTATCTATAGTATGTACATATGTACATATATCTGTACATATGTGTACGTTCAGAGAGTCATTTAATTTCTGCTACGATTTTTGTTTTGTTGTTGCATTATTTTGTTTTATTTTAATTCTTTTTTTTAGTGTTTCGTTCTGTGCTTTTTAATTGTTTGCCGCAACAACAAAAGTTTCATTCTGTGTGCAACACACACGCCTGTTCTTCCTGCTGTTGTTGCTGTTGTTTTTGGTCTCGTACTCGTTGCTGTTGTGGTCGTTGTTGTTGGTCTCGTACTCGTTGTTGTGGTTTTTCTCGTTATTTCTGTTTTTTTAGTAGTTGTTTGGCACACCCTTTCATTTGGTATTTGAACTTTAAGGCAGTGAAGGAATTAACTTAAAAACTCATAAAGTCTGTTGTCTCATTATAAACCTGATCGAAAATCGTAATTTATATAGTTAGTTAGTATAATCCCTGAAATCAGCTAGGGTATCAGCCATTTCTATTCTATTATTCTTGTAGAATTTCTGTTGTAGTTTTGCTACCGCTACCGCTGCTGCGTTTGTTGAGTTTTTAATTGTTTTGTGTCCTTAGCCACTTCGGCTTTTCGAGTGCAGTGGGTGTGTGTGTGTGTGTGTGTGTGGCTGCAGTTTGTAATCCTGTAATTATGTAGTTTTGTTGTTGCGAAACGACATGCCACCCACATCCTACAACAAACCCTGCAACCCCTTCACTTTCTCTGTCTCTGTCTCGCAACCGGTTTACTTATTGATGTAATTGTTGTTGGTACTACTGCCTCTACATCTCTCTCACTCTTATGAGCCCAGCCCTCTCTTTCACACACTTGCACTCATTCCCTCTCCATCGCTCCCTCCCATTCTCTCTCTCTCTCTCTCTCTCGTTTGCCTGTTGTCTAGGGGCAGCATTAAACGCAAAAAAATATAAATTACTTTAATGAACTTTACAAATTCGCATGCGCGCCCGGAAATGCGCTTTTTCGTTTCCGTTGCACAAACACACACACACACACACACACATATTACCAGTGAAAGAGGCAAAATGAGAGAGCGCGAGAGAGAGGTGAAGCATGCACCTTACGTCAAGGCTCATGGCACACCGCGACCCCAGACACGGACACGGAACCGTAACCATAGCCGTGATTAGTATGCTTTTGTTGTAGCCAATGCTACAAGCTGATGAATGTTGCGTTGCGGTTGTTATTGTTTATACTTAATTTGTCCCCCAACGTTTTGGTTTCCGTTTAAATGTTTTAAAATTGCCAAAATATACATATGTATGTGTAGGCTTAATGCTCTCTCTTTTTCCCTGTTTCTGTACTTACTCCAACCGGGCGCCGGAACAATCAGTCCAGTTATCATCTCCTCGCTCATCACGGGCGGATCTGTCGGCGGCGGTGGACACACCAGCGAATCAATCATATCGTCCGTCACACGCATGATCCCCACGAGATCTGGTGGCTCTGTGCGGGAAGACCTAAAGGGAAGGGCAGGGGAGAACAGAAGAAAGAACATTAAGGAAGGGACTTTTATTTTGATTTTGATTTGTGTATTTGCATAATTTTCGTTTGTAAAACCCTCGAAATCAAACAACCGAAACGTATAGAAACACCTGAATTCGGACTCCGTCGCGAGGCTTTTTGTTTTACGGGATTGGTGGGCTTGGGGATTGGTCGCCGACGTGACCTTTTTCTGTGTCAGTGCGCGAAATTAGCAAAAGATGCGGAAAATGCTCGCAACGTGCATAATTTGAATGGAAAATGGGAGAGAAGGTGGAGCCGAAGCTGGAGACTGGGAGGCGGAGGAGCTGGGGGAGCAGCATTTGGTTCCACAAACGCTTAGCACAAAAGCTTTCTGTTTTCGTTTTCCATAAAGAGAAGCTAATTAGGCTATCAAAATGCCGTTCGGCTGGGGCCAAAAGGTGATGACTGGCAAGAGAGCTGTAGTATATGGAGGTGAGGCAGGACGTTGTGGGAACGATGAACGATGAACGGGGAGACCCGTGCTGGTCAACGAAACGGAACAAAGTGCCCCACGAACCAGAGAGAACGAACGTGGCCTGGCAACGTGTTTGGGTTTGCCTCAACCCCATTTTCCTCGTTTCCACAGCTTTCCAGCTGCGGCTTGAACTTGTTGTTGACTTTGCTGAAAAACTATAAAACCAAAAATGGTTCGAGAATGTACATGGAACATTTTTTGGGTTTAAACATCGTTGCTCCTCCTCTTTTTCTACTCTTTACTCTTTTACTCTTCCTCAACCATTTTCTCTCCGTTTTTTTTTCTGAACTCTGGGTTTTTTTTTTTGTTCAATTGTTGCGAAACAATTTTTGCTTTTGGTTTAGTTTCAATTTTTTGTGTTGTCTCGGGACGGGGTAGAGGAGGGAGAAATGGGAACTTCTTTGGCTGTAACATCATCAAAAATTGGCAAAGCTTGTCGATTGTTGACATTTTGGGTGGCTTTTCCCCCCAGGGATGGCTTTTCCTCTCCCGAAAAACTTGATGTGGTCTGTGGCAGAGCGGTTTGAGTGGTCCTCTATGATCAGTGGAAAAGAGACATGCACACGGACACACATAGATGGCAACCTGATTGCATGAAAGGGATGTGTTTTAATTAACATCAGCATCAGTACCGAGTCTATGGGATACTTTTAAATTTTTAATTTTGGTTATTAGTACAGGGGTAATCCGCATGGGTCGTACTCTTTTTATATTTTGCATAAATATAATTGAAATGAAATCAGCAGAGGCGTTCGTTCCAGTTCCCGTTCTCCCCAGAGAACATCCCAGCTTGATTGGCCATCAAAAAGGCCACAGCAGAGTGCATACAAAAACACAATGGGGAACAATGGCCGGGATATAGCATTACACTCCGTCACGGCCCACACCCATCAGACAGGCCAGCCGCTGTCCGATCATCAGGCGAATGCCGAGCGCTAATTGACAGCCAGAGCAGGAGGCCAGAGGACAAGCGACTAAAATAGTTAATTAATCCATATAACTGAAATTGAAACAATGGAAGTCGAATGCCTTCCCTCCCGCAGATGACCCTGCAACCTACAATATATTGTATTTCATGGATATCCTCGTGTCTCCATTCAGGTCGAACGAAGCAGCCAACGAAACAGATGTTAAACAGAGCATAAACAAGGACTCTGACATAACTTACCGCATCATCATGCTGAGCGATTGTTCCTCCTGCAGGACGCTCTCCAAGTACATCATATCTAGATCGGACACAATTGCCCCATTGATGACCATTATTTCGTCTCCTTTGATAATGCCTGCAATTGGATAGACAGCATTAGTGGATGCTACACATAGATATATGTACATATGTAGCTACAGCTACAAGTGTACGTGTACGAGTAGATGTTGCATTCGAGCAAGCAGCGATTCAGTTCCAAGTATTGTTAGTTTTTGTCTCTGTGTTCTGTTCTATGTTCTGTGTGGTGAGGATACGCTTAGACAATAGAAAACCTGCGGGGGAGCTGTATGATAGCAAGGGGGATAGCCCCTAATGCTACTGCAATGAAGGTGGGTCTTCGGGAGGCAACGGGAATCAATGTCTGACAATTGTGTGGCTGTTGCAGCTGCTGCTGCTGCATGCGGACCACTGACATCTTTTATATAACAAACGATAAGCGGAATGTCTTCAGCTGCTGCCGCTTCTACTTCTTTCTATAAAACAATAACAACAAGAGCATTGTGGTTTTGTTGCATTGTTCATACGCCACGTTATCCCTTCGTCATCTGTCTCTTTCTCTCCCACACACACACACTCTTGACTCTCTCTCTTACTTGTGCTCTGCGTTCGTTAGCATTTTCTACTTTGTCTGCAGGACTCGTGTCTCACATGTGTGAGTTTTCTACAACATTTATTTTACCCATGGATGTTGCTTATTCTCCGCCTGGCTTCGACCTGTCTCACTTTCCTCCTGCGCCTGGCCCACCTGCCCCACCTGCCCCATCAGCATTAGCAGAGTGCTGTCTTCTTCCTGTTGACGACATGCATTCAAGTTGCAGTTGCAACATTGCTTGTGTCGCTTATCATTGTTGGTGCAGCACCCAGTACCAGCGACAACATTTTCTTAAGGCAAAGTTCGATAGACAGATATATATCGTATGTGTGTGTGTGTGGCGTGGTGTGGCATGTCCCGTGGCAGTATTTTATGCGTTACCTCTGGCTGGCTCACCTACGACATCTACTACCATCTACCATCTACATACACATATCTTCTCCCTTGCGAAGTCTTTCTACTTCTGCATTTGTTACAATTTAAACGGATTTTTACATCTTAATGCTGCCATCGCATGACACATGCGATTTACCATATAGAATGAATATATATCCACATATTTATTTTATATTTTTCTCTTGTACTTTTACTTGCATCTCGGGGATTGGCATTGGGTACGGCTGGGGGATTATTTCTGGCTCTGGCAATAGACAAATAATATTTATATTGCGGTGCCTTATCCTTTGCGCTGCGTTCCCTTCCATTCCCTTCTGTTTCCCTTGTGGCATGCTGTGGCATATGCATGGATTGTCAACACGTACGCTCCCTTTTTGCGGTTCGCTGGCTACAAGACTGACTCCAAAGAAGCTTGAGCAAATTGTTATTCCGTGTTTGCCAAATGCCTTGCCACGCTTGTTGCAACGCCAAAGTTGCGCCACTCGAACGGCTTAACTTTTGTGCACATACTGCCCCAAGAACCCCAAGACCCAAAGACTCAAAGCCAGTTGCAGTTGGAAGCCAAGTCTTGAAGGGCTTTAATACTGCTTGCTGCTTCTGTTTGAAGTTCGTAATTCGCATTCTCATCAAAGCCAACGCCTTTCTGTGTCTGTCTTCAGTTCGTTACCATTCCACAATTAGCTGGGGAAAAGTGGCCAGAATTTTCCGCTTCTGTACCACATTTGCATTTGAATGCTGCGGTCAGGATTTGTTTTTGTTTTGCCCTAGCTTCGGGGGGCCAGCAACTTTTGTGCAATTTACTCCTCGTAAATGTTGTCTGGTTGGTCCAAGCTTCGGGCTTTGTTCTGCGGTTGCTGCTTAAGAGCTGCGTCTTTCGACATGCTAATAGCCATTAAATTCAATTGTACTCAGCCACCGCTCTCGGCTCACCCCTTCTTCGCTCTCTCCCTTCTCCTTAATCATTTCTATCTCCGGGGGCGGAAGAGAGGGAGAGAGTCGAGAAAGTTTCCTATTGCGTTCTGCGTTTTGCAAATGTAAATGCGAGTCCAGAGTCCTTAATTTATGCATACACACGCCACTACAATGACTGCGGGTAGGGAAAGAGAGAGGCAAACACCCAGAGACAGATGGAGAGAGTTGGAGCTGGCTTAAAGCTTCACTTAAAGCATGTTCTTCATTACATATTGGTAACCAATCATGCAAGTGACACATAGATCTACATTTGATGCTTTGAAATCTGAGTTGAAACCTTCAAAAGGTATTCCGAATGCAAAGTTTCCACTTGGGGAGGAATTCTTCTAGGGTGGAATTCCATGCCATTTAATTATGCAATTGTTTTAGGTAATGCCCCCGTCGCTCCCTTTTCACACCCACAGCTAATGCAACATTTCCTCAATCGGAAAACTCATTAGCAGAAGTCTGCACCGACTGACGGTATTTCCCTTTCATAAATATTTGTGTTTTTTTTGCCCCTCCCGCGTTTGTTGTGTTTTTTGCCCCCTGTTTCTTCCAGCGAATTTCGCGTGCATTGTTTCATGGATTTTTGATTCGTTGTCGCCTTCAAAACCAACCAAATGAGCGCCACTCTCGCACTTGCACTCAACGTGCTTAATGAGTTTTCTGCTGCTGCTGTTGCTGTTGCTGCCATTGCCGCTAATGCTGCAAGGAGGAGCGAGAAATGTTCTTTCGCTTCATCACTTCGCCAAGTGCAGCATTGCAGTTTTCCTACCTGTCCCACAGAGATGGGCGGCAGAGGTAGGAAGGATGTCAGTTCCATAATTTAAGGCGCTGTTCTAGTGGCATTTCGACTACATCCACTTGACTCCATGTCCTCGTCGTCCGTCCTTCGCCCCGTGCCGGCGAATGCAAATGCCAACTTAAGTTGATTTTAAGTGATAGAAAAACAACAGCAGGAGAAGGAACCTGAAGCTGCAGCTGCACCTGAAGCAGGAACAGGAGCCGGCTAAGATGTCGCTCGCTGCTCCGCTCTCTCTCTCTCTCTCTCGCTCTGTCTCTGTGTAAAACCCTTTAAGGACCCGCCGTCGCCGCAATGGCTTTCGGCTTTGGTGCTGGCTGCAGCCAAAGTACTAGTATCCCTGCCCACACCTGGCAAACATTTCGAGTGCGCTGCTCATCACCATCATCGTCAGCGTGTCCTTTCTTTTTCCTGCTCTCCCTCCCACTTTTGCCGCCTGGCAAACAAGCGCTGACAGTTGACTTTTCGCATTGCACGCCCCGAGGAACTGCCAGGCAGGCTCTATACAATCCGTACTACTCCCCCCTTTATCACCATCTTCCAGGTATCCAGGTATTCAGGTGTCCTCCTACAGCCTGGCTCAAACTCCACTCGACTCGACTCGGGCACTGTTGTAGACCAAAGTGAGTTTGCTCAAGTTTCTACTCCTCCTCTTCTCTGGCTTTCTTTCTTTCTCTCGTTGTTTCTTTCCTTTTTTTTGACATAAAAGTGAAAAGCATTTAAATATAAAAGAAGCATACAACTACAGAAAAGAGCAGGCAGACGAGCAGGCGGACAGCAGTGGGAGTAGCAGGGCACTTTATAATTTTCTTGGCAACATTGGGCCACATTGTTTCGCTTTGGGCGACCAGGTGAGTGGAGTCTCCAGAGAGAAAATGAGTTAGGGAGCGGGATAGAGTGGAGAGTTGTCATAGAGCAAGTCAAAGAATGAATTTCATTTCCTTCGCCCGTTGCGTCACCTCAATGGCATAAATTAAATGCACGATTTCATCAACTGAATGCGGACAGATCGCATCCATAAACTAAATTCCCATCTTGTTTCGTTTCGTCTCGTTATGTCTTTCCTTTGTCTTGTTTCTATTTGATTCATATCGTTACTCCTCGTTTGGGTTTTTCGTCGTTTCAGGGCATATTTTTGAAACTATTTCGTACTCACCATTGTGCATGGCCACACTCTTGTCCTCCACGCGACTCACATAGCAGCAGAGCTCGTCCTGCCGCTCCGCATTCTCAATCAATTCCGCCTCCACGGAGAAGCCCCACATCTGTTCGAGGGTAGTGCGCTGCAGCTCCACCTGGTACAAAATTTTCATGCAGACCTCGACGAACTCATGATTATGTAGCTGAAAAAGAGATGGCAGATGGAAAATGAGAACGAGAGACCAAAGTTGAGTACCAAATTAGCCGAGTTATGCAAGCAATCAGGACGCAGGATGTTGGATGCTGCATGAAGGATGGGAAGAAGGAGAGGGACACTCCATTGATGGAGTGGAGTTGCTGCGAGTTCGGTTCAAGTTGTTGTCAAAAATTTATTGAACTGCCACCAACGCATCGAGGGAGAAAGAAACTTTTTCATTTTTGCCAGTTGCACATTTTTGCCATTTGCCAATTTCCAATCGCCCATCGCCAGTTGCCATGGACCAATGGTATTTACTGGCTTGTTGTTGAGGTCGAAGTTCTGATGGAGATGCAACTTCAATGGAGAGAAACAGGGAGAGAGAGAGAGAGTGAAAAGTTTCCACAGCCAACGGCTGACTTGGCAGCTGGCTAAAGTCTCACCTAGCGGACGACTAATCGGGTGCCAAGTATAGGGGAAAATTCCAACGGGAAAGTTTATAATTTATGGCATTATGCTTTCAGCATCGTAGAGTACAGGCTGGGGGCGTACACACTGAAAATATTTGGTCTTTTATTGCAAGGACAAAGTGCAGTCACACTTATTTTTCAGCTGAAGTACTTAATGGGTGTTTAATGACTATAGATGCCCCTTGAACAGAACTTCAAGCATTGCTTTCTTATTAAAATTTGACAGCAATGTTTGAATTGCAATGTGAAGATTTTTAAGCTGTTTATTATGAGAAATGTTTGCTTAAATTTGCTGCACATTTGAGAGAAAAAAATAAGGCATAGTTTATCGAAATTGCACTAGAAAAACATAATCTGTCCACTCGCTATAATCTACATATTGTATGAATTTATGGCATCTCTTTGGCACTTAGCTTTAGTGCAGTTGCTTTAAATTGAACATCAATCTTGGATTAAATGCTGCACACATTGCCATTACATTCCCTTTCCCCTACACAATGCAATTTCCCATCGTAATTCAATAAGTTGAATTGAACTTGAAGTTTGTGCCGCTGCTGGCACCCCACAGACAGCAAAGGACCCCCCATAGGGTACACACACGGAATGCTGGCAATGTGTTCGCTATGGATAGGAGGAAGGATAATGTGGAGAAGGAAAATTCCAAATTCGACAGCGACTCTGTCTACCTGTCTGGCATTAGTGGCATTAGTGGCATTTCTGGGATTCCTGGCATTCTGGCTTTGATTGTATGTGTACTTACATAATTTTCAATCAGATCGTTGCGATGCGGCACAAAGTAATTGTGATCCTCCATGTCACGTCGCTTCTTGACGCGCACAAAGTGCTCCATGGGATTGAGGTTGCGACGGGCGCACGCGCTGGCGAGGAATTCCTCAACAGACATCGCATCACGTAGATAAACTGTCGAGTAAGCATTGTCGGGCATTGCAACTTTGAAAGTTTTTTCCGGTTCGTCACGTGAATTCATCTGGAAAAAGGCAGAAAATTCGATTGGATAAACAGGAGTGAACACACACGGACACGGGCACAGCCGCAGATACAAATACAAATACAGAAATACGGCTACAGATACAGATGCAGAATGTAGACGTAGACGTAGCCGTGGAGGACCCACGTACAATGTCATTAAGCAGTCAGGCACAGACATTTTGTAAGGGGATATACACACACACACAACACACAGATACAAATATATGTATGTATATCCACACGGAAGTGAAAATTGAAAAATAGCAAACACACATTTTCACCCGCAGTTGACGCTGACGTTCGTCGTTCGCTGACGATGTTGCATGCCACCCCTCAAACGTAATGAAAAATGTCGCCAGCAGCAGCAGCATTACATCAGTCGAAGCAGAAGCTGTAGCAGTAGCTGTAGCTGGAGCTGGAGCCGCGGACCACGGTCTGGCCCTGCCCTGCACTCATACAATTTCGAAGAAAACTCAGTTAAAATGCTTAACAGTTTCCACAACGTCATAGTCATCGTCCTCGACATCCCCAACCTCGTCCAATGTTAACTCTATGATGGGGCTGGCAGCTCCTGCTCCCATCTCCATCTCCTGTCCCCATTCTGTCACTGAGGCTTCGACTGCATCTGTAAACGAATCAGGTGGCCCAGCTGCCAGTTGTCGGCTGCTGGAAATTGCATTTGTATTGGCTGCCGCCATTGGCAATGCTTGCTCTGCTCCTCCATTCCGCTCCGCACCGGTCTGGAGTTGCAGCTGGTTTTTGGACCAGGTAATACACTCGCACACGCACACACACACCACGCGCAGGAGACAATCGAATTAGTTTGGCAGTTGCCACATACACATCCATAGCTCCGGGACAAATAAGGGACTATCGTGAGGCACTGGCAGCCATACCGTGAAAAAGGACAAGCCATTGCATAGCAACTTTGCATATCGATTACGGGGATCATTATGCCAGCACCAAAAATACATCAACTTTATATTCATTGAATGTAAAGTAAAAGGCAGCTCCGTATGTGGAATGCTGGCAGCAACTGCAGATGCTGTTGCATGAAAATGAAAGACTTTTATCGATATGCAAAATCCCCCCAAACCTTAAGCCAATGGATCAAGAAGAAGCTGAAAATGTTATTGGTTTTAAGTTTCTTGTAAGAAATGGAATAATTATATAGAAATATATGATCTATACTGTCATTAAATTATTGTTTGTATTCTAATGGACGAAGTCCTATTTTCCTATTGTCACCCTTTCTATTTTTGATTCCACCTCTGACACTCGACCATTTTTTTGTTGTCTGATTAAGTTTTGATTTACTGCCGGGAATGCGGGATGGAGTGCACTTGCAGCCATGAATTCCATGGCTAGTCACTTGATTCAATTTTAGTTGCAGTGTTTTATAATAGTGTTTTTTATACATTTTTTTAAATGTTTATTGGGTTCTGGACGCACTCGTACCAGTCCGCAGTATAACTGCCGATGATAATTTGCTTTGGGGATGCTTTAATTTTATTTTCAATTTTTGAATTGCACTGCAGGCTGCGCTGCACTTTGTGCTGCATTGCAGTTGACATGTTCCGTAAAATGGCAAAAATGAAATGCAGTCACGGGCAAAACCAGATAGATAGAAGGGTAGAGCGTGGAGGGGGTGGAATGAACCAAATCAAATGCACATTTTTCAAATTCATTGAATTTTCAGCGCATTTACAACGAAATTTGCAGCCAGAAACGAATGGTAAGCGAATGGCAACAGCCAGCATCGCATCGTGTGTGTGTGTAGCTCGCTCTGTCGCTCCTCTCATTTATGTTATTTCATTTCATTTGTTTTTACATGAATATATCTGTATGGTTATATGTATGTGGTATGTATGGGATGCCATGCAAGTAGTATTTTTCATACTTTTTTTTTTTGGCCGGGGAGGAAGGCAATTGTGCAGCGTTGGCAAATTTAATTGGAAATGAAGTGTGTGTGGGTGGCAGTCAGTCAGTCAGTCAGTCAGTCGGAGCCATGGAGCCATCTCCCATGAAATCCGAGTTGTGCACAAGATTATTTTGCCAATAATCGAAATAAATTGAATTTATGAAATGAATTTCATTATGAACACACAATATACATAAATGTACGTTATATGCCCAAATTAGTTCTACTAATTGAAGTCCATCAAGGAAGTAACCCAACGATGAAAAATCTGTTCTTTGCTTTGCGTTGAGTTATTTGTTGGGAAATTTAATCGCAGCATTTGAAGTAGAGTTTTTTTCTTGATTTAAATTTGATGATGAGGTCATTAGGGTGGCTGGCTGTAGAGTGCTAGATGAAATTATTTACTTAAAAATATGCAAATATTTTTCTTTGGCCAAGTTTTCTCTCTTTTCCATAAATTCCATTTCTTTTTCTTTCTTCTGTAATTTTTGATGGCCATTAAATGCAAATTATAAAAGCCAAAAAATATACAAAAACAACAAGTTCTAATGGACGATGGAGCTCTGTCCGTCCAAGTCCACTCTCTGTGGCAGATGACACACAAGCACACACACACTCATGCATTTCTGGTGGCCATTCCCCATCCGCCATTCGAAGCATTAGCGCTCAATTTAGCTTTTAATGCCATTTCCGTTGCCTTAAATAAAAATTCAATTACTCAGACACACAGATACACAAAGACAAATGCACGAGCTGACGAGCTGGCGTGAGAGAGCTATAAACACACAAACCCACACAGATACAGATACAACACAGTCGTGGGTAGCGCCATAAATGCGTTTAAAATTGAAATAATTTTATTACGCATACGCCCCCAGTGCCGTCACCGCTTGATGGCAGACCGACCATGCAACATATATATTGAGGCCCACATTAATGCCCCCATAAACACACACAGATGAGCAGAGACAAGTGGACACGCACATTACATACGTACGATTATGTACATGGAAACGTTAACAAGGACTCACCTGCATGGAGCGACGACTGGAGCCGCTATTCGATCGCGACAGCATTGGTGGTCGCCGCTTGGTGGCACCACGTCCAGCCAGCAGATTATTGAGCAGCGACGGGGAACGGGCACAGATGAAGGCGTGGAACGAGGAGACCGTAAACACACCCAGTTTGTTCAGCGTGTTCTTTGTTGGTCTAGACACGTGAGTGAGCAGCGACTGTGGTACGAAAAAAATACAAGAATATTTAATTTTAAAATAATTATATAGAGAGAGAGAGAGAGAAACAAGTGCTTCAAATTAAAGTTAAAAGGTTGAGCCCTTTACAAGAGACCACACAACTAATCGTATTTCCTGGCCCATTATCCTTGCCCAGAAAAGCATTTGAAAAAAGGGAGCGTGGACCCTACTACTATGCAAATAATCCTTTGAGCGGAAGCTGATGTGAAGTTGTGTTGCTCTCTTCACAGGTGCTGGTGCTCGCTGCTCTGAAGTTGTTTGCATTTTGTGGTTATTAATAATAAATAATGTTGATTTTTCACTGCACTTCTATTCCATGCAGAGGGTAGCAGTACCCCTATTCCAACTGGCTATATGGCTGCTCTTTTCAACGCTTCTCAGTCAGTCAGTCAGTTCCTCTTCAATCATCCCTCCCTCTCTCTCTAGGCTTTACCCTTAGTTTGGGGGGAAACTTCCCTTTAAGCTTATTTAAGACGCTTAAACTTTGTTAGGGAGATTAATTGTGCATGTTCGGGGTTTGATTTGCCTTTGGTTTGCCAGTGGGAGTGGTAGTGGGGGGAAAGGACAGCAGACAGACAGACAGTGGAGAGCGCAGGCATTGTGCGAATAGGTAGAGGTAATTATAGGCAACTCGAGCACGTAAAGGGTTCAGAAGAAAATTGTAAACGGGTTTGCTGCTCTGTGTTGAGTGGAGTGGAGTCTGGCGGTATTATTGTTCTGGGGATTTTCGGCAGTTGGCTGTATTGTGCGGGTCTTAAGCCCCTCAATGCGGCTGTGAATCCTGGTTTTGATGTTTGCGCGATGGTTTGCAGCTAATTTCGGGGCGGGGCGGTGCGGGGTCTGCAGCTTAGGCCTGGTGTTTTGTTCACCGGCATTAGGCATTGATTAAGGGCGTTGCAGCTTCTTCAAAGGTATTTTTGGAGGAATAACTCAACCGCAGCCAAACGCGGCATCTCTTTTCCTGCCCCTTCTCTGCCGCTCGTTTTTTTTTGGCTAAGCTGTGGCCATAAACGGAGGCCAAAACCATTAATTGCTTGGTGGCCCATTGGCCTGGTTTCCTGCTGTCATGTGCCATAACTCACCTTTGGATTGGGCAACTCTCCGCTCTGCAGCGAGGCCATGTAGCAGCGCAATCGGAACTGTTCGCAGTGCAGTCGCTCGAGATTCTCCTCCCACTGCAGTATCTGGCCCTGAATCTGATGACGTGTCTCCTGATCGGTGACTACTGATTGCTGCAACTCGGCCATGTGCTTCAGCTTGTGATCCTGCAAAGAGGAAACAAGAGGGGGAACCAAAAAAAGTGTTAGACCAAGCAGAAATGCATATGTATTTATAACGTGTGTGTGTGTGTGTGTGTGTGTGTTTGTCTGTGCCTCTGTGTGCATGTGTGTGGTGTTGCAGTGCGGCACTCGTGCTGGGTTATGAAAGGCATTTGAGGCATGGGGCATCATTAGCATTTCATGGCAGCTTTGTTCCACTGCTGCCTGCTGCCTTCTGCCTTCTGCCTACTGCTGCTGCGGCGGCTGCCATTTGACGAAAATACATAAATCACGCGTCATGTGCAGCTAAAATTTTCCCCATTTTCCTCTTTTGCTGCTGCTGCTGCTGCTGTTGGCGCAATTCAAATATCTCTAGGATGCCCTGCTCCTGCCACCGCACCCCGTTCTCTATGAGCACGAGGACTGAAGTGCGTTTGCAATGCACCAACACAAAAAAAAACATAAAAATGAAGAAGGGTTAGGAGCCATAGATCCACACAGAGGGAGATGCATATACATGGCCCTGTTTTCATTACAAATACCGTTTGACTTCCGCAGCAACAGCAACAGCAACAGCAACAGCACTCTCTGGGTCTCTCTCTCTCACTCTCTGACACCTCTTGCCCCTGCTGGAGAGGGGGAGATGCTCTATAGGTGGATTTCCACCATTACAAATCCCCGTCGCACTGTTTGAATCCCACTTTCACGTGCATAGATTTCATGGGGCACGTGATTGTTTCATTTTGGGTTTCAGGCTGTCTCTCTCTGCCGTTCTGCACCTCTTTTTTTGTGCTCTCTCTCGCTGTCCCTCTCTCTGGGTGGCAGCATCAACAATGCCACATTGAATGTGAGCCAGTAAGCTGACAATTATTTGCAGATGCAGTTGAATGTTGCAGTTGCAGTTACCATTGCACTGTGTGCCTCTGCCGTGTGCTCTGTGCCTTGTGCCGTGGGCGTGGCAACAACCTGAATAGGCACTTTCGATGTTCGACATTTTAATGAATGTGTACACATAAACAGGGACCTGGGATCCCTGTGCTGCAACTTACTGTCTGCCTGTAGAGAGAGGGGTGCTCTCTGCCTTTCTCTTTTTGCCAATCTCTCTCTGGCCATCTCTTTCTATTTGAGCTCCTGTGTGTGTACGTTGAGCCTGTTCAATGTTTGTTTTACGTGGAAATAAATCAAAAGTTTTGTGCATTTTATTTGCACGTATTTACTTGATATTACAATGCCAAGCGATACCAGAGAGCACCACACGTACGTGAGGGGTTACACAGAGCAAAGAGTACAGTAGAGTAAAGTACTATAAGTCCACAATCGATACTCCTGCCTCTCGTCTTAATTCAATGGCCACCATTTCTAGTTTAGGAACACCCTGCATCTATCTGCTGGTTGTAGCCGCTCAGAGTTGGGTAATTAATAAACAATAATCCCATTATACACAACCCTGAAGTGGAGACGGAGGAAAGGAGGTGAAGCGTAGCTGGAGAACGACTATGCCGTTGGGGAGTCGTTCTTGGCCTGCTGCTTGCTGTCAATGGCATTTGGCACTTGAGGAAAGCTGCTTATTTGACAAACACAAACCGGAAGGAAGGAAAGGAAGGCAGCGGCACAGGCAGATCCAGTGATGAGTACGGTGCTTGTAATGGAGAAGGGTAATACGACTACAGGAAGTAATGCGAGTGGCGAGAGACAGAGCGAGAGAGAGAGAGGCAGAGAGAGAGAGAGTATATCCTTCCAGCACAGTTTTGTGATTATTTACAACACTAAACAGTGTGGCAGTGTCTGAAAAGCTGCAAGGCAGCAACCAGGCAGGCAACAGTTTGTCCTTGTCAAAGTAATATGCGGGGGGACTCCCTGTGTCTCTCTGTTTCTGGTCTTTCTGGTGTCTCTGTGTCCCATAAATAGCTCTCGCCCTCTCTGTCCTGCTTGACCATTAATCGCCTCGGTCATTCGGTGTCCCTCGAGCCGGGCGTCCTCTGGCATCACATTTTGGGGTAGCTCCACTTCAAGGGTTAATGGCAATGTTAATGGACTTGTAATTGCCATGCAATTGGGAATGTAAATCACGCACAATAACTCCTGCTCAGTGATCCATAACCTGTGGCAAAGTCTTTCCTTTTTGGAAGCGAAATGTTTGCTGCACATGCAGGCAAGGCTTAAACGTTTTCAATTGACTTTCGAGTTGGTGTTCCTTCTACATTTCGGAGTGGACTTTGTGCTTCTGCTTTAGTCCTTCTCTCTTAAATTGGTTTCCGCCAAAGTTGCGTTTCCGTCTCCTTTAACTTCGCCTTCTATGAGCAGAAGTTTGAGGTCTTTCTTCGCGGGGGGCAACGATTGTTTAGGGTTGCAAAAACCACCATTCCCTCAGTATTTTGGTTGGCTGCACTTCTGTCTTCGGCCTGGTCACGGTCTCTCGCTGCTGCTGCTGCTGCTGCTGCTGCTGCTTCTGCTGCGGTTGCTGCTTGTTTTGACACATGTCACACGCTAAGTGACAGCACCAGTCGCAGTCGTAGAATCATTTTCATTACACATTTCCCCAGTCCCTAGTCACCCAGTTCCAAGAGTGGTTCTGGCTTTGGCTTTGGTTCTGGTTCCGTCCCCGGCTTGAGGTCTCCACTGCACTCCATTCCACTCCACTCCACTCCGCTCCTCTGCTGTCATCTCAATTCCCGTGAATTTTATTATTGCTCCCCATAGTTGGATTGCCCCCTGCAATCTACTCCCACTCCTGTTTCTGCCTCTTCTTGACGATGGGTTTTTGCGGTTCGCCTATTTAGTTGTCCTGTCCTCTTCCTTTCCCCGCACTGATTCTGTTTCTGGCCGTTTCTACTTGTGTGAGTGTGTCCTGTCCGTCTCCCCCCTGTTGTCGTGTGGTCGTGTTCCTGCGGTCCTGCTGTTGTCTGTTGCGCTTTCATTAAGCGCCACTTGAGGATGCCTCTGCCTCTGCCTCTGCCCCCACTGACGACGACGACGACTCCCCATGCGACAATTTCTCTCTTTCTGCAGAGGCAAAAACAGAAACAGAAGCTCGAAGTAGAGCTTCAGCTTCAGAGCTCCAGCTGCCATTGCCATTTGTTGCTATGGCTGTTGTTGGTCTGCCATTTCCGTTTCCGCTGTGCTGTGCTGTGCTGTGCTATGCTGTGCAGTGTACACTGTACTACAGTGGATTTCCATTATATTCGGTTCGGTTCGGTTCATAGTTAAGAGTTTGGAGAGTTCATGGCTCTTTGCTTTCTCGAGTTTCTATGTACGTGTGCGTGTGTTTACTCTCTGGAGTACAATTAAAAAATACATTTTACCATTGTTTTAGTTGTCGTTGTCATTCGCTTCGTGCATGACAGGCCAAAGATGCCTCAAATGTGGCAGGCCACCGCCAACAAATACAACATGGAACAAGAGCACAACACATCACACACAACGTGGAAACAATGACTGAAATAATAATCATGCGCTGGCAGGCAGGAAAGGACTCCTGATATCAGTTTATTTTGTTTGCCGCTGCTAATGGCTTCAGTGTCCTTGCCATCGACACAGCATCCTCTCTCTGCTCTCCTTCCTGTAGCATCACTGCCCCAGAGACACAATAACAATCAATTAACACAAGGAGTAAGCCAGGAGGGGCGGGCCAGGGGGCAGGGGGTGAACGGGTGGCCAGCCCCCAAAGGGTATTGAGTTATTCAATGGAGTCGCCTTGGCTGAAATGACTTTTGACATGGCTTGTGCATTAAATGGCTGCTCTCCATTGCAGTTCAAAAGTCACACACACAGAGAGAGAGAGAGAGAGAGAGAGGAAGAGAGAGAGAGAGAGCGGGTCAGAGCCTCCCGTTACCCCTCTTAACCACAGATGAGCATCAGCAACAGAAGAAGGGTAGACTGGCAGGGGTTTGGGGCGAGCTTTAGGCCATGTCTACAAAAGGCCTCCCACTAAATTGTCGGGAGCATTTTCGCATGTAGATGGGCCTGCATAAATGCTGACCACAAAATGATGCCACATTATATAACGTGTGCGAGTGTGCTGCAGAGTGGCACCGAACGAGGGGCTCGAAAGGAAAAAAGAAACCCCAAAAACCCCAGACCCCTAAACTGGCGCCTATGTCTGTGGCCACAACCAGAACGGAGGGGATGAACCATAGGCAGGCAGGCAGAACGGAACGGACAGACGTACGGACCGGTCGGCTGTTGACAATTGAATTGAATTTTCCGCCCATGACCACACACGGACCGACCACGCCTCCCTTTTGTCGGCGCCTACATAAAGCATATTTTTGCATCTGCATGCAGCAGGCATGAGGCAGCAACAGAAGAACCTCCACTGCCTCTGCCTCTGCCTCCTCCTAACCCAACAAAAACAAATCAAAAACCAAAGCAAATGCATGCTGCAAGAGGCATAGATAGAGGGGAGGTGAAGTGGGGGCACACAGGGCATTAAGGCTGGGTCCCCGGTTCCTGGTTCCTGGTTCCATGTCCTGACCAGAGTCAGGACAGTGCTTGCAACCATATGCCAGACCCATTTCCTGTGCAACTTTAGGACCAAAAGTGGCAAAAATATTCGCACGTTTGGCCAAAAACAAAGCTCTACCCTCTCTACAATAACGGCGAGCGGGGGGTTACGTAGGTGCTGGGCCATAGGTCATCACAAACACACACACACACACATGCATATGTGGGGGGGTTACACATATCCCCTGATCCCCTCCCTTTGTGTGCCGGACTTTGGAGTTCAAACTCATTTCTCATATTTCTTGCCATAAATTGTTACCATTTTGGCATTAGTTTATGAAATGCCACGCCCACCCCTTACCATCTACCTATACTCCGTGTGTGTGTGTCAGGTCAAAGTTGAGTCCTTTTTTTTTTGTTGCCATTTCCCAAGGAAAACTCCTGGCCCAAAAAGAAAGGACGTGGGTGTTCGAGAACAAGTAAATTTGATGGTAATTATAAACTTTATGGTTTCATTAAAAAATATTTGAAACGAAAGAGAAAATTTAACACAATACTAGACA